TCCAGGCAAGCCAGAGGTTTTGACTGTCAGACTCAGATCATTGCATGGTCTTCTAGTCCCTGCCCTCCATCAAAGGCTGGACCTCACCACAGAATCCCAGCTGGAATCAACCCCATGCAGGAGCTCTTGGCCTTGTTGAGTGTCTATCCTACTGCCAGGTAAAAATTTCTACCTCCCACTCCTCCCTCTAGGGCTGCCTGCCCTACACACACACACACACACACACACACACACACACACACACCTGGAAATCAGTATCCATCCATTCAAAATTGTTCTGAGTACTTGCTGGAGGCACACACTGGGCTAAGAGCTTGGAATGTAACAGCTCTCTGCCCTCAGCGAGTACAGTCTGCTGATGCTTGTGGACAAGTGAGCAAGTCGCTCAGCCTGCAGCCTGTGCTCTAACAGGAAAGTAGGGGCTGGGGATTTAGCTCAGCGGCAAAGCGCCTGCCTGGCAAGCGCAAGGTCGTGAGTTCGGTTCCTGGTACCAGAGAAAAAACAAAAAAACAAACAAACTAACAGGAAAGTAGAGGGTACAATGGAAGGGTGCCATGGGAAGCTGCTGTGGGGTTCATCTCGCCCACGTTTGGAGGTAGGAGGTGGGTGTCAGGAAGGAATTCTGGGAGGAAAGGACACCTAAACTGAGATCCCCAGTGAGGAGTCAGAATGATACAAGCAAAGGGAGTAAAGGCCACACGCCAGGAAGGTCAAGGGCCCCAAGCCGAACAGGCAGGGACCGAGTCCCCGTAGTGGAAAAGCATGAGTGAGAGTGACGATAATCTTGCTAGAGGACCCTTAGATAGGTGGACATGGTTGCCTACTTTTAATAGAAGATGACCTGGGACATACATCACAGTGGACCGCAGCACAGCTATGGGTCCCCAGGCTGAGAAGTACTGGGGAGGAAGGTACTGGCTAGAAGTCTATCTGAGAAGGGGCAGGGAGAAGAAGGAGGCAGAGGGGATTCCGCTGGGATTCTGTTCTTAGAATGGGGAGGAGTTGAGCACTCTCAGGGCCAATGGCAAAGAGGCAGGAAAAAGAGGAGAAGAGGGAGACAGGGAATACCTTCCCCAGACAGGCAGGTCCTTGAGGAAGAGGGAGGGGCTGGGCTTCAGAGCCTGGGGACGGGGAGCAGGGACACTTTCTCCATTACAGGAAGGACTCCAGAAGGGGAGGAGGGACCCCAAAGCAGAGCACCACCTCATCCTGCTCCTTTCTGCTTAGGAACCAGGACCTTCTCCTGCACTTCCCACCTGGCCTGTGGCCTCTTCCTTGCCACATCCGTCCTTTGAGAGGCCCAGCTGGGACTCTGTTGCTATCAGTGGGCTCTCTGCAGGAGACAGTTCGTCTTGATTGATGGTGTGGCTTGGTTACAGGAGTGCGGACGGCCAGCGACCAGAGAGGGGCAAGACTGCAAACTAGGGCACAGAGGCAAGAGGAGGGAATAGCGGTGTGGAAGCCAAAGGTGACCTGGAGCCTGGGAGGGATGGAGCCAAGGCCACGTGTGTGGTGCTGGAGCAGCGAGACGCAGGGACTCTGGGCCCGACTCCCGCCCTCAGTGGCTGCATGTGGCATTTCTCACTGGCCAAGCCAGAGGGCGAGGGAGCCCAGGTGAAACCCATCCAGAGGCTGAGGAGGGTGGAGGGGGACAAAAGTTCATCTGTCTCCTGGCTGCAGGTGATACTGAGAATAAACTCGGGAATGATATCAAGTTTCTCAGTGATCACACAACCATTTCATGATAATACCAAGTGATGATAGTGCAGTGGGCTTTGGCTAGATTCTGGTACCCTGCTAGTGTTGGGTCAAACACCAGCCTGTATGTTGCTGTAAAGTTATTTTATAGAAGTAGTTGACCTTTATGATCAGTTGACTTTAAGGCAATTACCCTAGTAAGCAGGGTGGGCCTCATCCAATCAGTTGAGGGCTGAAGCACAAACATTAAAGTTTTCTGAAGAAGGGATTTTGCCTCAAGACTGCAGCATAGCTGGGCACAGTGATGCACATCTGTAATCCCAGCTACTTGGGAAGCTGAGGCAGGAGGCTCATAAGTTTGGGCCTAGCCCAAGCAACTTAGTAACTTAGTAAAAGCCGCTCTCAAAATCAAAATTTAAAAAAAAATTACAAAAGTAGTAGGGATGTAGCTGTCTGCAAAGGTCCTGCATTCAGTCTTTAGTACTGGTGTGTGTGTGGGAAGCATCTTTTTCTGTATCTATTGGCTCTGTTTCCCTGGACAGCCCTAGCTGATAGCTCAGGAACCTAGGGGAATCGAAAGCCCATACACCCACAACAGGAGTGTAAACTGAACAGCCGCATACTAAGGGCTACTTGACAGTATCTACCAAAATTTGTGTGCTTGTACCTCAAGCATTGCCGCTCTTAACGACTGCATTTCTACCTAGAGCCTGGCCTGTAAAAGCAAGTCCCAGGAGGTAACTCAGCTGCCCACCTGTGGCCAAATAGCGAAAACCTGGCTGAAATAGAGTATTAGGTGATTACAAGTGAGTGCCAAAATTAAAAAAAAAAAAAAAAAGTGAGTGCCCGAGCTGGGGAGACTGTGGAGGTAACGTACTGAGGCCCCTTATCTTATCAGATGCCGACAGCAGGGCCTGCAAGGGAGTGACACACCCACGCCACCCAGAACTGGGACTAAGCCGGCGCCCACATTTCTCATAGGCATCGTTAGCCTCCAGTTGGGTTCTTGAAGGGGGCTCTTGCTCCCTTTTGTACCAGACTCCTATTCCACCCTGCATACCCAGGTCCCATGGAGACTCTGGGGCAGGGCTTCCCAACTGCGGGGCCAAACAGCTCCCCCGCCTCGGACCTTCCTTGGCTAATGAGACTGCTGGGAGAGAAGCCTAGAGAAAACAAAAGTCCACAGCAAGGCCCAGCCCTACTGGCAGTGCTGCCAGGGCAGTTGGAGCTACTTTCACTCTCTCGGGTTTAAAGAGGCCCCTGGGAAGTCTGGGCTCTGCCCACCTTCACAAAGGGGGCCAGTCAGGACCCTGTTCCTTCTGGCCAGCTCTGTCCCCGGGAAGCCCGGGAACCCTGCCCAGGCATATCCGCCCCACACCTGTGTCTCCCTCCCACACGTGAACTGTGCTCTCAAGGTGCCACTGGCCAACCTGACAAACCCACTGGAGTTCAGAGGTGGCATGGATGGAGTAAGGTGGCCAGGGATGGGATCCCAGCTCGGTTCTAACCAGCTGACTTGGGCAATCACACAATTTGACAGGCAAGCCACACTTGTAAAATTTTGCAGCCTTCAAAGAGCCAACGGGCTAATTAATATGAAGGTACTTTGTAAACCATAAAGTGCCACAGAGCAGTGAAGACTGACTATATGACCTCTCCCAGGAGTTTTCACACGGCCACAAGAGCCTGCTGAGGGTGACTATCTCAGTGTGGCCCAAACAGCTGGGCACCTAAGCCTATTCGAACAGCCCTGACTGACTGCAATGCACACAAACATGTTAGTCTCACAAAGCATGGACTGCCATGGGCACTTAAGGCACTGCGATAGCGTGGGGATGAGGCTGGGTGGTGGTGGTTTATGTTGGGGGACTGCCACGCAGCCGCTGTGACTCAGGAGCTGTCTGCTTTGCTGGTGGAAGGCCAGCCCCAGAGTCTCAGGGAGTCTTGGTCTCTCCCCCATCCTCCCAAGGGGAGGGCGGAGCAGGGATGTGTTTGGTGACAGTGTCCAGAGGCCCTCAGTGCAGGAGACAGGCAGGCTAGGAGGTGCTTCTCCAGCAAGGTCAGCAAAACACATTAAATCTTGCAAACATTAATTTAAAAAAACATTACTTTCACATATTTAAAAGCACTTAGGGGCAGTATATAGATTGGGGACTCCACCAGCACCAATGACAACACACGCATGGGGTGGAGTGGGTCTTCTCCGAGTGTCACCACTTTCTCCCAGAGCAGGGGATGGGGCTCAGGATGGAGGCCCTGGATTGGGCAGGAGGAGGAGGGAGAAAAAGATGGGCTGTGCCTCCCTCCCTTACTCGCCAGCAAGGCTGGGCTGAAGCAGGTCCTTAACACAGAAAAGCACACCCACCTGGAAAGTGACTTCCACCTACGGCCAAGCACACAGCCTGGCGTGGGGCGCTGCGCAGCAGAGCAGAGGAGACTGCCCTGCCTGCTCCATCCCTCCCCAAGGCCTGTGAGGACAGATCCGATTCTGCCTCCTCCCTCTTAAGGAGTTGAGTATCCTGTGGGACCCGAGACCTTCCTACTGCTGAAGGCCCGAAGGCCTCCTGCCTCCACCTGGCTGCACCGTTACTGCCCTTCAGCCTCAGCCCCAGCCCTACATAGTCCAGGAAGCTGTCCCCCCAAATGACCCGCACAGCCTCCGTCCCAAAGCCTCCAGCCCCTGCCCAGCACTTCTTGTCCCAGCCTACTGCACCAGAAGGTGCTCTGGGAGTGGAGAGACTTCCACATGTGTGGCTTGGTGATCAGTTTCGGAGAGGAGGCAATATCTGTTCTCCTCACTAAGAGTAGCAACATGAATAATGGCTAACACGGGGCACTCACTATGCACTTGACACTTAAATTCACTTTAGTCTCACACACTAAATGTTATAGCTAAGGCACAGAGAGGTAGTCATGTGACCCAAGAATGCACAGCAAGTAAGCAGCAGGACCTGGATGTGAATATCAGATTTCTGGTTCCAGTCTCAATCTTACTTCTGTACTGGCCATTTACTAGTTCTTTTTTTTTTCTTCAGTGCTGGGGACGGAACCCAAGGCCTGGCACATTCTCAGCCACTGAGCTACCCCTTCAGCTTCCTGCCTCATCCTCATGAGTGTAGAGGTTTAATCTTATCCTTCCTTTCCTAGAAAGACACCGTCCTGCACCTCCTCCCTCTCCTCAAAGGGCGGAGTGCGAAGTAGGGGCTTTTGAGTGGCTGTCCTCAGATTGCTCACTGAAGGTGAGGGGCACACTCCCGACACCAGGGGGCAGCATTGGACAAAAGTTCTCTCAACGCCAGCTCTCATGCATAGCAGTCATGTAAAAATTTAAACTTTTATTTCTGGTACAAATGATAAATACTTTGTATTAAAAATCTGGAATTCAAGTTTTCCTCGTACTTCATGCTCCCTCCTTGCCCCAGAGCCTTACAGAAATATTTCTGTTTAGAGGGAAGAGGAGCTGGTGCCGGCTCTGGTAGCAAAGTCCTGGTCAGCGGAAAGGCACAACGGTGGGTCTCGGGGTGGCAGCTTTCTTGGTTGGCTCCACACACAGCCATGGCTCGCGCCACAACAGCTCTCTTTGGGGCTAAGGAGTCCCCCCACTGGTGGCGAGTTAAGAAGGTGCCATAGGGCCAGGTCCTTCTAGATGTGGGTGGGGAGGTGGGTGTAGTAGGCAGAGACCCTGCTTAGAGTCTACTGGGTTCCATAGCAGAATCCTAGGCTGTCACATTTTGGTTGCTTGAAATGAACACTTCAGGGGAGATGAGGAGGGTGGGGTGCATGGGTGGAGAACTGCTTTGCCCCTCTCTGCCCCCAAGGAAGGCACAGGGTGGGCATGGGGGCTGCCTTCACGAGTCACCCCTGCTGTGCACCTCCTTTCGCAGTCACTCCATAAGGGGCCCCTAAGGGCCTGGAAAGGATGTAAGGCCTCTGGTGGGGTTCCGCCCACTGCCGTGGCCAGGCGAGGAGAGGTGGGCCTTGAGCAGCGCCCCAGACCCCGCTTTTCTCACAGCCCCATTAGAGGTCCTCATCCCAGAGACACAGCTGCCTCTGGGGCACATAGAAGTCGAAGCTGTAGCTCTTCTGGCAGCTGCGGATGCCGCATTTGTAGGGCGTGGGCCGCTCGCGGCTGTGGCAGTACTTGAGCATGCAGGGGTACCAGGCCAGGCTCAGGCTGTAGTGACATGCACAGGGCTTCCCGCGGTCCCCCACCTGCCTGCAGCGAGGCAGCTCTGCCTGCTCCAAGGCCTTGGGCAGAGCCTCAAACACAGAGCCGTCCACACCTAGGGAGAGAGGCAAGGATGAGAGCTGCTAGCAGGAGCAGAAGATTAAATCACAATCGTCCTCACCTACTGAGTCCCAGCGTGTGCCAGGGGCTCTACATGCAGGACCTCTTTCTATTCCCCCAGGAGCTAAGCACTGTCACCTTTGTTTTACAGATGAGAAAACAGCCCAGAGAAGTCAACAGCGTGGCCACACAATACCAAGGGAGTCAGAATACTAGAATCACGTCTGTCTGACTTCAGGGCCTGCACTCGCCATGCTGCCCCCAGTGCTTTAAAAGATCACTGTACTGGGGTGCACAGAAGTGGGTGACAGGCATCTGGGCAGCTTCATGGAGGAGGTGGTATCTGAGTAGGGCCATGCAGGGAAGGGGCAGCGCAAACATAACTCACACCAGAGAGCGTGCAGGGGAGGGGCCTCACGTGGGCTCTGCTCTGTGACCTTGGGAGGGGACAGCCTCCAGGAGATGCTGGCATTGGGCTTCTACCTTAGTCTGGGGTGAGGCCCGCTGGGGACAGGTGTGTGAACAGTATGACCACAGCTCTGCTGGGCACTTACAAACCCAGCCCCTACCCAGGGGTAGGGGGCAGGCATTTCTCTGTGCTTAGCAGGCTGAGTGAAGGACCAGGGGCCTGGTGCTGAAAGGGTGACATTTCCCTGTCGCTCCTATACAGAACCTGAGGGCAGTCCTGGGGGAGGCACAGGGAGATGGCTAGGGTTGAAGTCACTCAGGGACCACACAGAGCTGGGATGGATCCTGGGAGATCCTGAGGATCCTGGGAGCTCCCGAGGATCCTGGGAGACATCCTCACACCAGGGACGGTGTAAAGCTGATTTCTGAGAGGCAGCAGCAGCAGAGGGGACAGGGAGACCGGGCACTTGTGCCCTCTCCCGTAACGGGGTCCGCTCTGTGTCCCTACTAAGAATGGTGAGGAAGGGGCGTATCTGGGAGTCTCCTTCACAGAGCTTGGTTGTCTGTGTCCTTCCTGCAACAGGCCCCTTCCTCTGGGTGACTCCTCTTGCTGACTGGCTATATGGGCCCCACTTCCACCAGGAAGACTTCCCTGACCTGGCCTGGTTTAGGGTCCCGCCACTGAGCACCCACAGCTCCTCCACCCCTGGGGCAACCTCTGGGGAGCAGAGCTGGGTGTGTTTATCACTGATCCCAGTTGACCCATCTCTGCAGATGTTCCATAAATGTGTCTTGAATAAATGAAGGAGCTGCTCGGCCCAGGTGTCCCATTCCCTCCTCCACCACTGTTTCTTCCTCCTGTTCTTCCTTCTGCCCCCTACCAGGTAGTGCCCACTGCCCAGCTGACCTTGCTCCAGCCAGAACCGGACATCCTCCTGGCGGGTGTAGATGGCGTCTGCAGCCTCGGCGCACACATTGTGGAGATGGGGGCTCAGCAGGCCCCCCTGGGTGAAGTTCACAGCGATGTCCATGTGTAGCTGTTCCGGGGCCCGCACGTCCTCAGCCTGCCGCACTGCCCGCGGGTTTTTCTGCACAGACATGACAGAAGCCAGTCCCACCTGGCTTTGGAGTGCTCCCTGCCCAGTCCTCTCCTGATCCCCTGCAGAGCCTGGTCAGCCCAGGCTGGAAGTCAAGGAGCACCCAGCCCTGCCTCTCTGCAACTGGCAGAGAAATTGATGCCCAAGAGCAGACGGGCCTTTTCAGCTTCTGTCTGAAGGGATTATTCTCAAGCTGACCTCCAGGGCCTGGCGGCAAGTTATAAGGTCCTGCTGGGAGGTGGATGTGGGCAGGCCAGGCAAGCTGTACTGTGATAAATGACCTCTTAGGTCAAGTACTGCCCCACATTCAGGAGACTGAGTATCCCTGGGAAGGACAGGCAAAAAGGAGTGCCAGAGAGGGCAGGGCAGTGGGTCAGGAGCAGTGTGCAGGGTTGAGCTGAGTGGAGGCTAAGGCTGGGGTGGCTGCAGGGGTGGGGGCTTGGGGTCCGGAACTGGCTGGGACAGGCCCAGGGTGGGGACTGACCTGCCGAAGCTTGGCCATGGCCTCACTGGGGATGATCTCGTTGCGGTGCAGCCGGGTGACGAAGCAGAGGGCCTGGAACTGACTCTGCCCCTTCTCCAGCTCCCCCAGGATCAGGGCTCGGAAGATTTTCACATCCTGAAAGGAAAAGGCAGGAGGATGGGAGTCTGGCTCTGGAAGGTGGAGGCCTCCGTGTCGGTCCACTGGCGCTCGGCTTGAGCCCTGAAGAGGGCGCACTTGGACACCGTCCCACAACAGACACCTCCCTCTTTTGCTTTGGGACTGTTTATCTTTTCCACCCCATGACTTGACAGATCACACCCCAAATGTTCCGAAGCCTCCTGGAAAACTGACAAAGCGAACCACCAGAGAGGATTCAACAGAACCCTTAGAAAGTATGAACCTTCACCTTAAAGAAGACAGCAGCTCTTTCTGACACCTGATTTACTCTGGCTGATGCTTCCCCTAGGTGGTGCCCCCAGGGTCACCATGATCGAGGTGGGTCAGGGCCTCTTCGACCACCAGACCAGGGCGCCATGGGGGAGGGGCTGTTCCTTTCACAAGTACAGATTCCAACACTTCCCTCTGACATTTTTATTCACTAGGTTTGGAGAGAGGCCTCAAAATGCCCCAGGTGCTTCGGATCAGCCAGGGCCCTCATCCATTAGGAGCAGTGCGAACGGGCGGCATTAAGGGCAGAGGTAGCGGGCAGCAGCTGTTCTGCCTTCTGGCCTGAGGAAACTGGGATGGCTCACCTTTCCTCTCCCCTCTCCGCTTCCCCTTTTCCCACTAGCGTGATCAGCAGGCCAGGAGCTCCTTCCTGTTACTCACTACAGGAACGGGGAAGCCCAGAGTGGGGCAGACAGAGAAGGACCATAAGGTGGGGTGGGGCCCCTTCCCCATCTGGCTGCTGCTGGAACCTTTTGCTCCTCCCACTGTACCTTCACCCCTCCACCCCTCCCTTTTTCACCTGTGACTTGGCCAACTCCGCTCCCAGCCACAAGTTAGCAAGTCCCTAAGGGTCTAAATCTGTCCAGATCTCTCCTGCTACAGGGCCACCGAGGCTGCAGTGACTGTTCACCAGAAGCCACCTGTGGCCTTGTCCTGGCACTTCCAGTAGATAGCCCTGGGTAACTGTTCCTCTTTGACTGACTGTGCCCTGGGCTCACCACTAAGAGCGCCCCACTCACTGAGAGCTCATTACAGGGTAGCTGCTTTGAGGGCAGGGTCTGAGTGGTCTTCTGGATTCTGATCCAGGCAGAGAGGGGGCCATGGTTCTACCCCAAAACAGTAATGCATCAGCTGGTACCCCAGGCTTTCCTCCACTTCCTCAAGCCTCGTCTGTGAAACGGGGAGAGTACGTTTACCTGACAGCGCTGGGGGAGGACTAGGTGAGCTGTCTGGATGAAGGTGCTCAGCGTGTGCTAGTGGTGGTGTCTGCTACCCCCAAGTGACCCGCAAATGGTGCAGCTATCCGGAATGCATGAGAGCCTGGCAGCTCCTAAGCCCCAGCATGTTTCTCTACTCCTTTAGCTTTAAGGAGTTTCTTTTACTTTTTTTTTTTTCCTGTAAGTGATTTCTGGAAAAAAAAAACAAAACAAAACAAAAAAAAAACTGTGTGGGAAAATATAGGCGGCCCTTCAGAAAGGTAAACTGAGGCCCAGCTGGTGAGAAAAGCTCCATTAGGCTCCTTATGGTCCCAGAGACTTATGAGGAAGATGAATCTGAGCTCAGCTGAACCCCCACTTCCTCTTGACAGGAAATCCCTTCTTGTGTCACGGCGCTGGCATCTCCTAATCCTGCCAGCATGAGCCATCTGATCTTCCATTCACTCAGGTTAACTCAGGGGACGCTGGAGACTGGAACATTGGTGGCTTATTCCACTCTGGGCTCAATTCCTTCGAGGTGAGACTCGATACCGGACTTCCCTTCTGAGAACCTGAGTAGGGCGGATGTTCCTCACAGGAACCTCCAGGCAAGATCCAAGGCCCACATCCCTGGTATCCTCAGCTCTGAGCCTTTAAAGAAAACCCCACCTGGATATTCCTGTCCTCTCCATTAAAGGTAATTCCCTGTGGGTTGAGGGCTCTCAGTGCTTGCTGACATCACCGGCCCACCACCCGCAACAGGATGAGGCATTTGAACCTTTAAACCAGAGGGTGAAAGAAACCGCATGAGTTTTCCCCCTGCCTCTACATTACATACCCACGGCAATAACAGCAAAATGCTACCGAAATGAGAACCCGACTGGGGTGCAGAGAGGAAATGAGAATTTCTCTCTGAGAAAGATGATTTTCTCTCTATCTGTCTGTGTAGGACAAAGAGTCACTGATGTTTATAACTGGGAGAGAGAAATATGGTTAGGTTGGGTCAAACAGATGTGTCATCCTCTAAAATCTCTGCAATAACAGGAGGAATGGAATTCGGACCGCTGCTGTTGTCTGGATTGGGTAACTTGCTCAAGGTCATGAGCTAAGAGGAAATGTACACGGGGTAAACAAAAATATGATGTGTTTAAATAAGCATATTTATTATAGTAAAAGAGTAAAGTAAAAGTACCATTTTTATAGTAAAAGAGTATAGTATAGTATAGTATACTGTTTTATAGTAAAAGAGTAAAGTATAGTAAAAAAGTAAAGTACTCTACTATAGTAAAAGAGTAAAGTAAAAGTACCAAAAGAGTATAGTAAAAGTACCATTAATCCCTCGGCCTTTTAACACACTTATCCCATTGTTCTTGCCACTTTCTGAAACAGTTTTGGAAATACTTTTTTGAAAGTGTCTTCGCAAGATGTAATAAAAAAAAAATCTGGTGAATGCCGCTGCTGAACGCCCGCCAAAGGACAGGCAGGCTCACGACAGCATTCAGGTGTGTCGTCATTCACCTTATTCACCAGCTCTGGCACAGCTTCTGGCTCTTTCCCAAAGTCAAAGTGACCATGTAAGGTAAACACTTTGAGTCCATTCAGAACATCGAGGCAGTCATGACAGCACAGCTAAAGACTTCCAGAACTGCTTTCAGAAAGTGGCAAGAATGAGGATGTAAGTGTGTTTGCAGTAAGGGAGCGTATATGCGGGGGATTAATGGCCTGTGTCCTTTAATACATTTTTTAAAAAATTCAACATGTACTGTATTTTTTGGCCATACTATCTAGCTGAGATTTGAAGCCAAGTAATCTAGTTTGACTCCAAAGACTGATTTCTCTTAGCCAGAATACACAACTACCTCCAGATCAATTTCTTTGATGTTCAGCTGAAGAAACACAGACTCAGACCCACAAAACGACTGTGGTCTCTCCTGGTCACACAGTGAGTAGCAGAGGCAGGATCAGAACCAAGTTCCCTCTTCCCATCACAGCCTAGGGAATGTGGCTAGCTCCTGTGCAAACCGTGTGTGACTAGCAAACTGCAGGGCCCACCTAAGAGATAAAGCAGAAATATCCTAACCCTGAATTCCCCAGTTTTTCCAATCCTATTTCTCCTGAAAACTACATTCCCTTTGCTGGCCCCAGGAAAGGGGTGGGAAGTCCTCGTCTCTGGATCTAACTCTTTGGTGATGGGCCCTTCACCATCTTGACCATGTCCCTCCAACCTTCTACTCCTTACATCTCAGATTCACCAGCAAAGCTCTAGGGGCTCTTTCTTCCAGCATAGAATTAAGATGGGATAAAGAGTTCCCCTGCTTCAGGAACATCTGGCAGATGGAAACCTGGTTCCCAGCCTTCCTTTCTACCCAGAAGTCCCCTTGGGTGATTCACCTGGATATGGCCTAAAGCTCAAGGCAGATGTTAAAACTGGGCAGGAACTTATGGCAGGATCAGAACTTGGCTGGGACTCCCAGGATGGGAGGGTTCTACAAGACTTCTTCTCTCAGGAGCACCCCCAAACCTCCAGCCCACCAGGAACTGGAGAGTACAGTAACCAGGTCCAGAGCCTGAGCCACGGACAGGGTAGCAGCACGCCCCAGGGGGGGCAGGTGTCTGCTGAAGTCCTCGTCTACAGTTTGAAGGACAGAGTAGCACAGCTGGAGCACAGCACAGTAGCAAAGAACAAATGGTCTGGAGCCAGGACTATCTGTGATTAGATCCTGGCCTTGTCCTTACTAGTCACATAACCGTAGGGGAATGGACTTAGGCTCTCTGTACCTTAGTTTCCACATCTGAAAACTGAGAAAAGCAACAGTACCACTTGAGGGACTACTGTGAGGAATAAAGCAGTGAAAGGATTCAGAACATACCGGATGGGGCCCCCTTTCTTCCATGTTGCTGCAATCGCTCACCCTACACCTGTCTTGCTCCCGCCATAATCCACCCCAGGCTTGAGACTGTAAAGATTTTTCCCTCACAGATGCACCTACAGATGCACCAGGCCTGGTGACGATTTCTGCAGGTTGCAAGTAATTAGCAAGTCAGTGGGAGCCCCCTGACTAGCACTACCTGGGGCAGGGAGTTCACAAGCACTAGCTAGGCACAGAAATGACTAAAGCCAAAGCCCTTGTCTTTAGGGGGCTTCTCGAGAAGGCTGACCTCCAACAACCAAGGCCAGTGTGGCACAGAAGGCTCAGGGTTGACGTTCATGCTGAGTATCATGAAGGCGAAGGATGGACGAGAGAACACTTGTCTCCTTAAGGATGGGGCTGGGGCGGAAGGGGGAAGACCTCTCAGAGTGAGGGTGTTTCAGGGCTCCTTGGCAGGGAAAGCACGGGATGAAGGGTTTCCAGCAAAGACAGGGGCCCTGACGAAGACAGGGTGGTATGAGGGGCTTTTATTTGTGTTTCCAAAAGGTTTAGGGGATCATGTAGTTCAGTGAAGTTCCAGCAGGAGAAATGACTTTCATAAGTCACACAGTGGCAATGCCAGGCTTAGAAAGCCAGACCTCCCAACCCCCAGCCGAGTAGCCTTCATTCCCCTCCACCCTCCTGTTTGGCCCGTCTACATATTCCACTGCTCTCCAGCCCTCCCCTTGCTGGGCCATCTTTCTGAGACCCACCATGTGTCCTAGAGTCTTAAGAAGCACTTCGGACGGTGCCCTGAGCCAGGCCCTGGGGGCTGCCAGCTTCAGCAGAGGCCACAAGAACAGCTTCATGCTGGGGGAAGGAAGAAATCTTGCAGAGGGGGCCCTGTGACCAGGAGCTGCCC